GCCACGGGGTGTCGCTGACAGCCTATACCGCAATTGATGGAAGTAGGAGTAGAAGTAGTAGAATCCTACCACGAGAAAACCTTCGCGCAAAACTGAAATGCAGTAAAAATTAAAAAAAAAAAAAAAATATTAATTAGCAGCTCTATGTACATACGGTTTTAGTGGTTGTAACCTAAAACAAATATAAAATTAATAATTTAGGTTTATACTGAAAGTTTGAAACAAATTTAAAAGTGAAACGTCACGTTAGCCCACTCTTCATATAACGGTTCTATTAAGAACTTCTAAAAGWGCGATAAATCAATAAATAAATACGCCAGAAGCATTAAATTTTACACCTAGGATGATACAAAGGCCGACAAAATTGTTCGACGGACGTGAAACCACCCACATTTCAGTGAAAATCCAGATGCCAGGACTTACTAGACCGATCTCGCTTAAATTTAATATATATTATTATCTTGACTTATCTTCCAGTGTGAAAATGAGTGAAATCGGTCTGCAACCATGCCTACTTCGCATATAACACAATATTCACTTTTTCCACTTTCCAGTTTGCAAATCAACCACCAATAAATGCGTCAATCAAGCTTTTCAAGCCCCGGATACCGAATATGTGGATCAAAGTTGCAATTGCGAACTTTTTTACCGAAAATAAGCACCAATCTGTGAGAAATATTATATAAATTCGAATTTTCGAAATTCCGGTTAACTTTATACTTTATAACGGGTCATCCAACCTTCAGAGCTTTAAATCTCTAATCACCGTATACTGAGTCGTGGGTCCAAAACTTAGTCGAAACGAAATATGTTCGTCGTACAAAATTCATTTATGAGATGATTTTTCGCCAGGAGAAAGTTCGCGCATACTCTCAAAGGCCCAGCCCTCTTAAGAATTCCAGGAACTTACTGGGCGCTATTGATCTGGATATATGGGTCCAAGAACCTTAAAACTGCATATGCAGATTGCTGTGTAATCTAAAATTAGGTGTTCAAGACTGKGAAAGCTCAATCAGCTTAGTAATTTCTGTTTAATTTTTTTACTCATTATTGATTTTGACATTTAATGCCGTTCGATTTTCAGTTTTCACTTTCGACTTGGATGCGATATGACGGCCAGAAAGAATATCGGTATGCCCCGCCAGGCCTTACGCAGGCTGGCATTGCACAACGATTCGTCTGCAACGAATTTGGCTATCTCCTCACTTGTGTCTACAAAAACTGGTTTCTAATAGAACAAGAAAGTTT